ATATATATGAACTTTGAAAGCTTTTATGCCTTTATCACAAATTTCAATAAACTCGTGATGAATTAGCTTTAGTTGAACAAATGAGCAAACATATATATGCTTGAAGTAAAATTAGCATCAGAAATGCAACAGAATTTTCCATGGCGTAACTATAGGTTTTATATCCGTGTCAATTGCATACCGCCATAATAATGAAAAGATGCCGAATTTCGTTTTACTGCATGGTTTCGTTTAATTTTATGAACATTTCTCTTTTCGGGTTATTTATTTCAAAGCATAATAAAACAGTCAAATAATATTCTCTCAGTAATGATTTTGAAACGTAGTATCATATAATATGACGAAATGAAGAATGTCGTGATCGATATTCCTTACTGTAACTTTTCTAAAATTTTGATTTCGAAAGGCGTTAATTTCAAAGTGATTTTTATTTTCTGAAGTATATTCTGCCGTTTGTTTTTGCGAAAACCTAAAACTTTACAACTGTAAAGTACACCTAGAAAATGTGCAGATATATGACAGTACATGGAAGAGAATTGTAAACAAAGCTGTAGAAATCATGTAGTATCTCTTGAAACGTCATTTTCTATCCCGTCTGATATATATATGGAATGGCTTACATCTGGCGATATGATTCTGAAAATCTTGCTGGAAGAAGGTTGTATAAACTGCATTATGTTGACATGCAGCCTATTTCTAGCAGCGTGCATTACTGTGGTTATAGATGTCCATAGCCATCCAACCTCGTTCATTTATGACAAATGTGGTTTGACACCAGAGAATGTAGACTGGTCTCAGGCAAGTATTTATGAACGTATTTGATGTATGAGGTATACATGCTAAACTAATGGAATACTTCAATAAGTAAATATGAGTACACTTGCCCTTCGAAATGGGGTGCGGCAATTTAGGGAAACTCTTCAATACCCAATTGCAAATAAGATCAAACTATATTTAACTTTTCTTGATAGATACCTTCTTCAGTCTGGTATCTGTCATCTAAATCTCCAGATGGAATGTTTTCGAGAGTAGTCAATTGTCAAGCTATAAAAAATATTACAAATGACCTCCAAGTCATTTCGACCCGGCGTACTGGTATATATATAAGATTGCACCACAATTTTCACATAGGTTCAACGTTTCTTTTCTACAAAAACTCTTTGCAATTCCGAGGATTTTTTTCGTTAAATATGTCATCCAAGAAAAGAACTTGGTCTGATGACTATTTGCAATATGGCTTTACCTGTTCAACTGAACGTGACTCCAATGCGAGAATGACGTGAGAATTGCCCCTTTTGAATCGAAGCCACGTATCCCTTAATTGGTTACCCAAAAACAGCAGCAGAAGTATCGCTCATGAATTTAATGAATAATTGAAGTTTACTGTTTGTTGCAATTTATTCTGCTACAACCAATGGAGCAACCAGTTTTTTTTTCGGTGGTTGATACTCTCTTGACAAAGCATTTCCTTCGATTTTAAATCGCAAAAATAACCTATGCTCATCAGTAAGGCAACGAATTCATATTTTATCAATTGAAGGCGGTTAATTTTTTTATAAATTTGTACAAAATTGACTTATTCTTAATAAGTTCAGGTTGCGCTCTTAGTTCAAATATTTTGGGTTCGACAGAAGCTTGCGGAATAGCGTAGGGGTTCGGCAGGCTCACAAAGTTAAAGAACCACTGACATAAGCGGTCCTCGAAAATTCCTTTGTCGTGGAAACTTTGTGGAAACGTTAGGCGCTACGTTCTAAACAATTATATAGAATCAATTTCTCCAAATACATTTTCTGTAATACCCCGCCTTTGAAATAGAGTGAAAGAGAGATTGATAGAGAGATCCGATAGTAAATAAAGCAAGTATTCCAAACATTGTCTATCAAACAAACAGTGAAATTGGTGAATATTTTTTTGTTATGCGTGTGAATATTTATTTGCTATATCGTTCTATAATAGGATGAGTGGATATAATATGAGTCAAACCATTTAATTTTCGGCCGTGGCATTGAGAAAATTTTGAGGCGATGTCACATTCAAATCAATCAAAGTATTTCTGACGCTAAGAAGATCTTCCGCTGTTGGATATGGTGTTGGTGGAAACCAGCGTTTCCCAACCTTTTTTGGTCGCAGACTATTTTTTCAACGGCGAAAACCTTTGCGGACTCAACGTGCGTTTATTGCAACCGTACTCTGTGTGAAGAAATAATAAAACCAAACACAACAGAATTTTAAAATTGGAAAAACCTGTTCTATTTTAATTTAATTGTGTTCGTGGTCACTCGCGGTTGCGTCGACTTATAACAAGATGAAAGAATTATTTCTTTAAAATTCCACGGCCATCTGCGAACATAATAATGTGAGAATACATTGCCCCATTATATTTAGTTTTGATACATATTTTTCGCGATCTTGCGAATTTGTTAACGCCGTTAGAAAAATCCTACTATCTGTTATAAATTTCCAGAAAGTACAACTTGATTCAGTACTTATTAAAAATATAATTCAAGTATATTAGTAAATCAAAAAATATATATCATCGCCTTGCTTTAATTAATATTTATTTTATTGTGATCATTTTAATCTGCAGCAATACTACTCAGAAAATATTATGACAATCAGTGGACACAAAAATGCGTGGTGCCCGATTATA